ATATATTAATATATTTATATTAATTTATATATAATATTAATAAATTACAAATTAGAATTTATCCTGTCTTTCTCAGTCTTCCCCCAAACCCTGATGTCAGTCCAGTTTTATAACAGTGGCACTATGCAATATTTGTCCTTTTGTGACTGAGATAGTTCACTCAGCATAATGTTCTCCAGGGTCATTTTGTATAATATTTCATGAGTTCCTTGTTTTTCAATGCAGCATAGTATCCATTGTGTGAATATATCACAGCTTCTCTATCCATTCGTTTGTTGATGGGCCACTTACACAATAAACAAAGCAGAGCGCATCCTGCCACAGATCAGGACCACTTGTCAGCGCAGACGCAGGCGCACGTGTCCCCGGGGGCGGGGCGCGGAGGCACGCCGACGTGAGGCGGGGCCAAGGCCGCGTTCCCACGCCCCGCCCCGGGGCGCTGCGTGCCCCGGAAGCAGTGTGTCCCGGGGCGCCGCGGGGCGGAAGCCGGGCGCCGGGAGGCAATGGCTCCGCCCCGGCAGAGGAGGTGCTGCCCATGTTGCTAGACTACGCGAACGCGAACCGGCGTCGTCACTTCCTCATCCCGCGATCGGCCCACTGTTCAGGCCGGAACCAGGGGGCCGGAGCCGAGGTGTACTGGCGCCGTCTCTGAGTGACTCCGACTAAGGGAGGCAGGGCCTCGTCACCTGCGGGACCCCTCCGGACCCGAGAAGATGGCTGCAGACAAGGCTGCAGGTGAGGGTCCGGCGCCAGGAGGGGCTGGACACCGAGGGTGAGCGGACCCTGAGCACCCGGCGGCTGAGGCCCGCGGGGTCGGATGGGGTCTGGGTGGTGGGCACTTGGACTTGCATTTCTCTCCCCGCATCCGCCTCGGGCCGTCCTAACGTGGGTCCTGGGGATCCACATCGGGTCGTTTTCCTTTTTACTCACGTGCAGCACGAGCTGCCCAGGAGCGTCCTTGCTCCGCTCTCCAGGTTTGCCGGGACCTCAGAGATGCAATTCTGAGTTTACTGCATGACATTCTGACATGCTTGTAGCAGAGGCCGATCTGGGGGAACTCACCCCAGGCCGCTCCGCTGCCTTCCTCGTGTCACATCGCTTTAGTTAGGCTGGGGCTGTTGGAACCACATCAGGGCCAGCTTTCTCAAGTCTCTGGTGGCTTGATGAACAGGACTTGTGCTGCCAACTCAAAGGCAGGCGGTTCGAATCTATCAGCTGCTCAGAAAAAAAAATGGACAATTTCCTCCCAAATTATTTACCATCTTTGAAAACCCATGGAGGTTCAGCTGTGAGTCAGATTCAGATTTGACAGCACACAACAACTAGATAAGCTGGGCAGGATTTTACTGATTACAGTCCCAATCACTAGAATCTTCCTCATTAAGGAAAGCAAAATGCTTTCCAGCCTGCCTCCGGGAAGACCTGGTTAGTAGGGCTGCAGTATGAACTTTGCGGTCTCTCTTGTATCCAAGTTTTATTGGAAAGAATTTAAGTGGTTAGATGTAGAAGTGGTCCACGCCTGGACATTATTTTGAAAAATAAACTCTCAGTATAGGGTTTAGGACCAATAGACAACTTCATGACAGACAGAGAAAACCTTGAAGTTGTCATTGATTTCCTTTTACTTGGATCCACAGTCAACACCCATGGGTAGCAGCAGTCAGTGAATCAGAAGACATGTCCTCCTGGGGAAATCTGCTGTCAAATACCTCTCCAAAGTGCTAAAGAGCATTGATGTCAGTTTCAGGACCAAGGTGCACCTGACCCATGCCATGGTATCTTCCATTTCTTCCTATGTATCTGAAAGTTGGACAGTGATTAAAGATGAGAGAAGAATCAATGCGTTTGAGTTGTGGTATTGGAGAAGAATATTGAATATCCCTTGGACTGCCAAAAGAACAAACAAATCTGTCTCAGAAGAAGTGTAACCACAGTGCTCCTTAGAAAGAGGTGAACTTCATCTCACATACTTTGGGCATGTTGTTAGGAAATGCTGTTCCTTGGAAAGAGACCTTGTGCTTGGAACGGTGGAGGGTCAGAGAAAAAGAAAGACCCTCAATGAGACGGATTGACACGGTGACTGTGATAATGGTCATGGCAGAGATGGTGAGGCTGGCACAGGACATGGCAAGGTTCAGATTTGTTCACAGAGTCACTGTGCACGTAACAACAAACTGTAATAACAAATGAACTTTGATTCAAAATTGAAGGAAATAGATCTCGATGAAGAGGAAGACCAGATGTATTGACATGGTGCCTGCAGCAGTTGGGTTTGAGAGTGCCGGAGATTGTGAGATTGGCACAGGGTAGGACAGGGTTCAGATCTGTTGTTCACAGGGTTGCTATGAGTCATGCTCGGCTTAATGGCACCTAACAACCACAACAGATCCTGATGCACTTGCAGATAAAATCATTAGAGGATCTCTCAGCCATCTACTAAGAGGAAAAGCGATAGAGGAAGGGCTTAGGATATGAAGGTTGAAAAAGTGTGCTTTAGGATTTTGGGAAGGTTCGTCAGGAGACGCGTCAGCTGAGATAACTTCTGAGCAGAGACCTGGATGAAGTGCAGAAGTAAATGCTGTGCTACAGTGCAGGCAGGACGTGGGCGTGAGAGGGAGAATGGCCAAGCAGGGAACAAACGTGGCCTGAGCAGGGTGGCAGCCTCGTCCTTCTTCACTGGAGACAGTGGCTCTGTTCCCCACATTTGTATTTCTACTTGCCACTTCTGTTTCACCTGCCTGGAATGATGGCTTTCAGCCTAACCCCCTTCCCCAGTAAGCCTTCAGGTTTCCTCTGCTCCTTGCTCATTCATTAATTCACAAATGTCAAGAGCTGAGTCCTGCTGTGTCGTATTGTTAGAGGCTATAAAATTATTCTGATTCAGACTGCTAAGAGAACAAACAGCTTCATCCTGGAGAAGGTGAAGCCAGGCTGCTCCTTGGAGCCAAGAATACTAAAGCTCCATCTGACATACTTTGGGCATGGTGCAAGGAGGGACCAGCCCTTGGAGAGGGACCTCATGCTTGGGAAGGTAGAGGGACAACCCAGGAGAGGAAGATCCTGGAGGAGATGGACTGACTGAGTGACTGGGATAATGGGGGTAGGTGTGTCAGAGAAAATAAAGTTGGCTCAGGAGAGAGCAGGGTTCAGAGCTGTTTTGCTGTGAGTCGTAAGCGATTTAAGAACTTAACAGCAACAAACATGAGAACTCGAGATGTACGAGATGTTGCCTGCTTTTGCACCATCCACAATCATTACTATGTTCAAGTCCGTTGTTTAAACGGTCGTGTTAGGCATCTCTCTGAGATTTTCCCCTACCAAGCACGATGCCCATCTCCAGCTCTAGCTTTGTGGAATGGCAGAGGTAGCTCTTTGCCAAACGCCGGTAGGTCCTTATCCTGCCAGTAAGCCTGCTGCCTCAGAGCACTCAGCTTTCTCCCTCATTGGGCTGGAAGCCCAGACTGTCTCCTGACAGCTTCCCAGCTGTGCCTCCTCTGCTCCCACCAGCAGCTCTTTGTCTCCAGGGTCTGGGAGTTGGAGCACTGAGGTCTTAGGTCCAAAGGCTGCTCCTAGGGAGCTCTGGTGGCCTAGTGGCAAGGAGCTGCAACTACAATCCCAGAGGTGCACGGTTCGAATCCACCAGATGCTCTGCCGGGGAAGGAGGGACAATCTCCTCCTGTACCAGTCAGATCTGATTTGATGGTACACTCACACAAAAATAATAAAATAAAATAAAAAACAAAAAACAAAGGCTGCTCTTGCCTCACGGCTTTTCTCTCTTAATAACAGTGACATTTCCCCTTTCCCACCTCTCAGTTTGAGCCTAACAGAGTGGCATCTGTTCTTTTATCTGCATGATTCTACCCCACAAGATGCCCTTTACCGTATTTATAGTATTAGGGAGCTCTGGACTGCACAGTTGCCTGCTAACCCAAAGGCTGTAACTCTGAAAGTTTGAATCCACCTGCTGCTTCAAAGGAGAAAGATGAACAGTCACTTCTTGTGCGATTTACATTCTCAGAAACACTGTGGAGGGTTGACTGGGAGTCAGTTCTGACTCCTTGCAGCAATGACTGTGAGTTTTATTTACAGTAGTTGCGAGCTACCCAGTTCACTGTTACATATCGTCCAGTTGGAACTGACTCATGGCTGGCCCTCCAGTGGGTTTTCAGAGGCTGGATCACTCAGCAGAGCCCCTGGGGGAGTCACACCATCTGCCTTCGGGTCAGCAGCGCAACTCCTTACCACTCGTTGTCCTGCTGACCCGAAGGAGGCTCCCCTTTGGTTGGTCAGAACCCCTGGCTCACTTAGCCATAAACCCTCACGTTTACGTAATCCTCTGTAGTCACATGGTGGGACTTGCAAAGACCATGGTTCGAAGAGCCACAGCATGTAATTCACTGCACCACCGTCGTTTCTTTCAATAACTATGAGAGTCCGACTCACAGCGAGTATTCAAGGCTGTAAAACACATGGGAGGAGATTGCCCTTCTCTCTCCCTTTGAGCCACTAGTATATTTGAACCACCCAGTGGGACTGTTCTTTGGGTTAGCAGCACAACTCCTTATGGATCACAGCTAACAGAACTCCCTGACACATAGAATGTTGTTATTATGTACCATCGAGTCAGAACTGACCCATAGCTGACCCAAAGCAGTGGGTATTCAGAGACTGTAAATCACACAGAAGGAGACTGTTCACTTGCTCTCCCTCAGAGCAACTGGTGGTTTCAAACCATGTGTCTTTGGTTTGGCAGCACAATTCCTTAACACTAGGCCACTGGAACTTCCTCACACATAGAATGGTTACATTGTACTGAGGATGATGGCCCAGTCGACACATAGTATTAATCATTATAGTAATCTGTTATTTAATGACTTCCTTAACTATTTTTACAAAGACTCCGATGTGATAAGTAATTGTGCAGCCAACCAGTATAAGGTTCAAATCTACCAGCTGCTTCACAGAGCCTCTAAAAATCCTCTGGAAGCAGGAGTGGTGTCCACTTCCTAAACAACATGCCACTGGAAACTCTGTGAACTTTGATAAATGTCAGTAGTTGTAGAGGGGCTTTAGGCCTTTTGTTCATAGGATCGCTATGAGTCGTTCTTGACTTGAAGGCAATCAGCAACCACCACCACCCTCTGGAGTGTCAGTACACAACAGCAATCTTTAAGTAACAGTTTCTGTAAACCCTGATGTCTCTTCCTTATTTATGTTCTGCTTTTTTCTTTCTTTCTTGCCCCCCCCCCAAGATTTCCTTAAGAATTTGAGGTTGGGAGGAGAGAACCTTTTATTGTTTTTGCAAATTGGTTTTGTGCTAGTTAGGATTGCATGAGCTACAGGGAGCTCTGGTTGCGTAGAGGTAAGGAGCTGTGCTGTAATCCCGAAGGCATGCAGTTCGAATCCACCAGCTGCTCCACGGGAGAAAGATGGGTGATCTCTTCCCATGTGATTAAACTGCCTCTGAAAGCTGGAGGACCAGATAGATACGAGTCGGGTCAGCTCAGCAGTACATAATGACAGCAGCACACGAGAACAGCCAGAGGGGCTGAGGTGGCCGGTCAGGCGGCCGCTACCATCTGAAAGCACACAATTGGAATCCATCAGCTGCTCTTGGGAGACAGATGTGTGGTCTCCTCCTCTGTGATCTGCTGCCTCTGAAAACCTGCTGCAGGGTCAGCTGTGAGTCCGTTCTGGCTCGAAGGCATAGGAACAACAAAGGGGGGGTCCGGGCAGGGTGAAAGTATAGGATCTTCTAAAGAAATGTCTAGGGGTAAGGAATTGCACTGCCAATGCCAAGTTATGTGGTTCGAATCCACCAGCTGCTCTGTAGGGAGGAAGATGGACCGTTTCCTCCCATGTGATTTACTGCGTCTGAAAACCCGCCAAAGGATCAGCAGGCTATTAAGCTGTGAGTCATTCCTAGTTGATGGCCCAGGACAGCCACCCCGAGCATGCACGTGGCTTGGTTAAATCTCCCTTGTGCAAGAGGTTTTTGAAGTCTGTAAGAGGCCGGGTAGCACAGAGGTTAAAGTACTGTGCTTGCTCACTGAAAGGTCACCGGTTGAACCTCCCTGCTATTCTGTGGGAGAAAGATAGGGAAGTCTGCTTCTGGAAAAATAAACATCATGGAACCTCCACGGGGCAGTTGTGCTCTGTGCTGTAACCTCAGTGTGAACTAGAATCAGCTCAGTGGCAGTTGCTATTTGTCTACTTGTTTTAAAACACTGAAGCTTGCACACACCGTGTTTATTGCTGCATTGTTTACAATAGCAAAGGGATGAAACAACCCAAGTGCTCATCAACAAACGAATGGATAAAGAAGCTGTGGTATATTCACACAATGGACTACCATGCAGCACTGAAAAACAAGGAACTCAGAAAATACACAAAATGAGTGACTCTGGAGGACATTATGCTGAGTGAAATATCTCAGTCACAAAAGGACAAATACTGCATAATACCATTGTTATAAAGTGGGACTGACATTAGGATTGGGGGGGAACTAGGAAGAGGGGGTAAATGTACACTGCATTAAAACAGGTGAGGGAAAGAACCATTTATGAATATATGATTAGGCATTATTTGTATGACAATAGTCCAGAATAAGAACTGCATAGTAAAGTGTATGGGGTGGGGGTGGAAAATTGTATAACAATGAAAAAAAAGCAAACTGGGGGATGCAGGGAGGAAAATGTGCAACAGTGAATGAATAAAAATCCAACTTTTCTATAAGGTTTCATTAAAATCTCAATTAAAAAAAAGAAGGAATAAAAAACAAACACTGAAGCTGTAGTAGTCTGTCTCTGTTTGAAAGCCTTAGTGTCCAACAACCTCTCCTTGGCTTCTCCTTGTAATCTTTTAAGTACCTGAGCTTAAAACTCTTATTTCTATTGAATGGGAGACATTGGTGGCAGACTCTCCAACAAATTTTCAAAAGGCTGTAAATGTCGTGCGAGGAGCTTGCCCACCCTTCTGCCTTGTTTATTTATCTTAAAAATTGGTGGCTTCTCTTTTCCTGGAAAATTTCTAGAGATGTAGCTAAGGGATATCAAGGGGGCTCTGGTGCCCTTGTGGGTAAGGAAGTGCACTGCCAACCCAAAGGCAGGTAGTTCGAATCCACCAGCTACTCTGCAGGGGGTAAAATATGGGCAGTTTCTTCCTCGTGTGATTTAAGACTCTGAAAACCAGCTGGAGGGTCAGAGGTAAGTTGGTTCTGATTTGTTGGCCCAGCAAAAGGGGATCATGGTAGAAATGGTCACATGTGTCCTTCTGCTTTTTGTGAAGGCTGAAGGTTGAAAACTTCTGCAACTTGTGTGAATGACACCATCTCTGAAAAGGCCAGAAGTCCTACTAAAGACCCTCATCTGACCTACAAAGAGCATATTTTTTAACAAGCTATCAAGAATAACTTGAATTTTTTGGCGTTTAGTTTCAGTATATTACACTACCTTATAAAGAGAAGATAAATTTTTATAAATTAGGATTCCTTAAAAACTTACATGACAGGAGAAACATGTAAAAAAATTCTTCTCTGCACCTGGTCAGTGTAAGTCTGGCAGGACAGCGGATGACCAGCCGTCTTGTCAGTCTGCACGCCTTATTTACATGTTCCTGCCCAAAAGGTGCTCTTTACACTATAAGCAAGCTCTCCCAGTCCTGCTGATGGACCACAGACACCCCACATCTCTGCAGTCATGTGAAAGACAAAGTCAGTAACTGGAAAAAACTGTGTTGAAGAATCAATCTCCTGCTCCACGCTGGCCATGTCAGCTCTCACATGATGACTGAGCGAATGCACGGAGTTTACCATTTACAAGGCAAATGCTCACATTTTAGAAATAACTCCCAGCAAAGGGCAGGCTGTATGTCTCCACCTACTCCATGCCCTCTGGGAGACTTGGGATTGTGGTGGTAGAAGTTGCTGAGAGTGGTAAGGTTAAGGGAGAGAAGTCTACCATTTCTCCCAGTGTGGACATCGTCCACTATGACCTTTGTTGCATTTAACTCCTGCTTTATGAATAAACATAGCAGTTTCTTTCTAGAAGCTTATTTGGGATTACTGAATTTCTGAGTTGGGAAGACAGCCTATTAAACCATGTAATACAGGCCCTTATATTAGAAAACTCTGGTGGCTTAGTGGTAAGGAGCTGTGCCGCCAACCCAGAGGCAAACGATTCGAGTACACCAACTGCTCCACGAGATGGGCAGTCTCCATCTTTGCAATCTACAACTTCTGAAAACCCTCCAGAGAGTCAGCTGTGAAGTGATTCCAACTGCGTGGTACCTCATAAGGCTAACATATTAGGACTACCATGTAGGCAGAATGGCTTCTCCAGCTCACTGGCTTTACATTTCCACCCGATGGTCGGTCGGTGAGAATATGCAAATGAGGTGGGCGGGCGACGTGTGATGAGATAGGTTAGTTTTGTCCTCCCACCACGTTTAAATTGAGCAGGTTTAGCAACCGCCGATGGGAATCTCATTGCCAGCAGAGCATGCAGCACCACACACGCTTCAGGAGCAGAGATACCTGCCCCAGGCAGTGAACAGCAGCAGAGGAGAACCAGAAACCAGTGTGACGCCGAGCTGGCCTGGGACAGCTGCCCTACAGAGCCAGGGCCAGGGAGCTTGTCCGTTATTTTCAACACACAGCTGGGAAGGAGACAGCACAGTAAGGCAGAAACTACGTATAAATAAAATACGATGACTAGAATGAACATCATTTCTTAAACAGACAAAATTGAAATGGAACTGAGGTGAATCTCAGTTTCCTTGTAAAGAGTGAAGGCAGCATGGTGGTGGCCACATCTGCCCTCAAAGGGCACTGTGCCCATCAACAACGTTGCTGTGTGTTGAAAATAATAGACTCAGATGGGAAATTGAGGCTCCATGAGGTAACTGGTGAGGCAGGGCTAGGGGTTTGTATCCAGTTTCATCATGTGTCCACAAGTAAGTCTGATGATCTTTTTCACCCCTGGATTTGAACAGTGTTAAGTGTTATCTGCTCTCCCTGAGAACTGTTACGACCCTTTGGGGTGAGTGGGCAGTAGAGGTAGGTGCCCACCATCTAGTTCTTCTAGTCTTAGTAGAGGGGACACTGATTCATGGAGGACATGAGTCCTTTCCTTCAGTGTTCTGGTCACCAAAGCTGTAGTTGTGACATGAGTGGTGGTGAGGGAAACATTTGTTCCAGATGTTTTCTGAAGAGCAGCATCTTTCTTACTAATTGTTATTGTTGTCAAATACCATCAAGTTGGAACTGACTCATAGCTGGCCCGCCACCAGGTTTTCAGAGGCTGTAAATTACATTGAATGAGACCTCCCATCTTCTTGAAGAGCAGCTGATGGATCTGAACTGTGTACCTTTGTGTTAGCAGCTTCATTCTGTTTTTGTAAAGTAGCACAGTTCTTTACCACTAAACTAGTAGAGCTTCCTAAAACTCTATAATATGGGTAAATGGGCGAAGACATGAAAAGACAAGTCACAAGTAAAATAAAAATAGTCCTGGAGCATATGGAAACTAATGGTCGTTGTAATCATCGTTGAAGAAGATATTACAAAGAAAAGTTGTGACTAACTGACCACAAAGCTTTGCTTCTACAGAACTGTCGAACTTGTATGCTTACAGATCAAGGAGCGGAGAAGCATGAAGGAGCAGGTCAGTCCTCCGGGCTGACTGACCAGGAGAAGGAGCTGTCCTGTAGCGCTTTCCAGGCTTTCTCAGTGAGTAAATGGCACCTCTTTACCTGCCAACCCTTTCAGAATCTCAGAATGGACCTTTCCATAGTCAACTTCTAAACTTGGGGTTTTTACTCTGTAATAATTCGAGAGTTACACTTAAAGAGGAGGAGGCTTCCCTCTAGGATAAGAACTATTTTAGAGTTTGTTTTAAGTAAATACAGTAGAAAAAGTGAACATTTGAGCCATATTTTAACAAACATGTGTTAACTCTTACCTTGCTTGAGTATTTGTTTTTTGGTTTGGGGTTTTGGGTGGTTGTTGTGAAGGGTTTTTACTTCCTAAACAACATGCCTCTGGAAACTCTTATGACCTTTGATAAATGTCCTTAGTTATAAGGCTTCAGGCCCTTTTATTCATTGGCTTGCTATGAGTCCTGTTCCACTTGACAGCAATCAACAACAAATAAAGGCAATCAGTGTTCATTTCACTACTCTGTTTAGTTTATTTGTCTTTGTAATATAAAATAGAACCCAGGAAAGATTATTGTTAGCACTGTTTTTTCTCCCACAAAATGATAGGAAAGAAAATCTTATTTGAGAATCAGGTTATATACATGTAAACAGGAAAAACTTGAAATTTAGATATACAGAGTATATTTACCAGATATGACAATATCTCAGAATGTTATAGAGCAACTTTAGTTACAGTAGACAGATTGACTTTTTGGAAAGAAGTTTAAAAGTTGAGATAAATAAGGCGAGCTCTGGTGGCCTAGTGGCAAGAAGGTGTACTGCGAGGTGCACGGTTTGAATCCACCAGATGCTCTGCTGGAGAAGGAGGAACAATCTCCTGTACCAGTCAGATCTGATTTGACGGTACACACACACACACACACACACACACACACACACACACACACACACACACACACACACACACACACACACACACACACACACAAAGAGATAAATAAATAAATTATGTTTTTAAATGGTATGTCATTTGGTTTGTATGGTATGTGTTTGTTTTTTAGACTGGAAATTACGATACCTGTCTACAACACCTTGCCTGCCTACAAGACATAAACAAAGATGATTATAAAATACTTTTGAATATCGCAATAGCTGAGTTTTTTAAAAGTAATCAAACAACAACGGATAATTTAAGACAAACACTTAACCAGCTGAAAAATCAGGTGATAAATGAATTTTACTATAAAAATACTGTAATGTTCTTTTATTGGTGAAATAATAAATGGAGTTAAGGAAAGTAAATGTGCCTTCTTACATGATATTGCTATATTTATCTCACAGTAATATATATGGTAATATATAGTAATATATCTGAAGCATTTACTGGTTAATTTTATTTGTATAAAATTACCTTTCCAGAAAGTAAAATGTCATATGCTGTGTAGCTTGATTTTTTTTTTATGGGATTTGTTACTAATTTGAACAAAGTGGACTTCTATGTAAACTTTGGGCAAACTTTAGTGTTTTGATGACAATGAAGAAGGTATTTTGTGGAACAGTTAAAGTAGGAGTAAATAAAGAAGCTTAACTGCCAAGTTAGACTTATCTATAACTGCACAAATCTGATTATTAGTCATGATGTTGTTTTACCATTTTGGATTAAGAGATAATTAGGAGATATTTTGATTTACATGTGGCTTCCAATGGTCTGTTTCATAATGTCTGTAACAGCAGCGGTTTCTCGTCCCAAGGCTGGGACGGTGAGGGAATCTGATAGCCGTCGTTTAGTGCTTACTGTTTGACAGGAGAGAACTCAGGGGGCTCAGTCTACAGCAAGTTCACTGTTAACCCAAGTCACTGGTGACCCAAGTCACTGGTGCTTTGAATCCAGTGGCAACCCAGCAATTTTAACCCAGGAGAAAAATGGGCAGTCTCCTTGTGTGCTTTTACAGCCTTGGAAAACCAACAGAGAGTCAGCTCCGAGTCAGTTCCAATTCAACAGCAATGAGAGAACAAATAAGGAGAGGAACTGCATTTGAAGCAGGACTTTGTTGAACATGTCTTGTGAGCACTTGGGCCCAAGTGCACTTCTGCGTCGGTGCCGGTCATCACTGCTCAGGCTATGAGCTCCGGAATGAGGAGACGGTTTACTGGAGTCCAGGGAACATTTTTTCTGGGACACATTGGTTTGGCCTTTGAGCACAAGTTTAGCCTTAGAACTATTTTTAGAATAAGAAGGTCCTACAAACTTGGTGTTAAGCTAAGAGAAGGGTGTGAGTTTGGCTTATTTTGGATCCTTTGGCCAGCCTTTCCTCTCACCACGTACGGGTTGATCCAGCAGCCCCCTAAGTGCCCTCAACTCTTAAGTCTCCTACAAGTGGTTAGACTCTTGTGTCCTGACTTTCTCCAGATCTTTCTTCTGTTTAGGATCACATGTCCAGAGCACAGTGGCATCTTTTCAACCTTTTCTCCTTTCACAAATGTTCTATTTCATTAGTACTTTTGGTTCTAACAGGAGTAGTTATTAATTAATTTTGGTGAATCATAGAAATGTTCTAATTCATGTCAAGTTCAACCATTGCTTAATCTAAAGCACCTTAATGTATCTGAAAACTCTGTTTTCTGGCTGAGGGTTAAACCTCACTCAGCTCATTTTTGCTCTGTTCCATAACTGTCAGGAAGAATTGCCTTTCTTGGGATCTGAGCCTTTGTTTATTTGAATCATTTTTAACCATATAAGGACTTGACAATGAAGAGTATAAAGAGCCCCCACACCAAGTGAGATGCATGTGCTGTCAGTGTGTGAAGAGGCGCTTGATAACACTTGAACTTGTCTGTCCAGCTCGACACACAGGATCAAGGTTTGCAGAAACCAGGTTACAAACGATGATGCATTATGAACCTTCAGGCTCATTGCTGGCAGCCAAACTAAAATTGTAAAATCTTTGTATTTTGTTTCATTTCACAAAATTTCCGAATGTTCTTTTCATTTCTTTTTTTTTTTTTAAATTTTTATTATTTTTGTGTGTGTGCTCCGTCAAATCAGATCTGACAGGTACAGGAGGAGATTGTCCCTCCTTCTCCAGCAGAGCATCTGGTGGATTCAGACCGCTGTCCTCTGGGATTGCAGTGCAGCTTCTTGCCACTAGGCCACCAGAGCTCACCCATTTCACAAAATTTCAATTATAGAATTATTTCTTTATCATTGTTGTTATGTGCCCTTGTGTTGACTACAACTCCTACTGACCCTCTCCCCAATAGCTCTGAACCCTGTCCTGTGCTGAGTCAGTCTCACAGTCTCAGACACACCTATTACATTACCCCAGTTACTATGTCAGTCCATCTCATTCAGGTTCTCCCTCTCCTGCACTGTCCCTCCGCCTTTAACATTACTCAGTAATTTATTGAAGTCTCTATTACGGCAAGGAAAAGTCTGTTTTACGGTAAATAGAATTCTACTTTCATGTGCTCTGTGGAACCACAAAATAGTTGTGAAACATGATTAAAATTTAAAAGGCTGATGTTACAGTTTACAAAAAGGTTGTTAACTTTGAAATACAAATTATTCCTGGGAAAGGATGACCGACCACCATATGTGAATAAGTGTTTTTGTTCATTGCTTTAAGAAGTTACCTATTCTCTTTTTATTATGGAAACAACAGACTTTCCAGGAAGATCAGAAAATATGCATCCTGATTGTGGTTCCTGGTTTTAGGGGGAAAAAATAATTACACTCTTTGTGCTGGTTTGCTTATTTATGAAATAAGAATGGTAATATTATCTATGTCCTTGAGATAAAGTGAGGATTCAATCAGATGTTCTCTGTAAGAGATTTGACATAGCAGGCCTAGCACATAATAAATGGTTAGCTACTGTTCTTACTTACATGTTATTTAAGTTTTATATTACTCTTTTGGTGTTGTTTTTAGTGAAATTTACCTATACATTCTCCATTGACATTTTTATGGGAAAACTCTTACAAGTTTTGTCTACTCCCTATGCAGCCTAGTACCCCTGAGGGTGGGAAATAGGAAACCTATGCAGAAGCCTTCTAGCAGTCAAGTCAGGAAATGCATCTTCCCAGCACTGCCTTGTCTTGAACTGAGTCCTTCGTTAAATCCTCCTAAAGTGTTTTCTTCAACAGCATTTTATTGTGAATGAAATTATTTTTACTCTAAGAGGAGTTAAAATACTTTGAGCATATGTTCGGAAGGGGCCAGTCCTTGGAAAATGACATCATGCTGGGAAAGGTCAGAGGAAGAGAGTAAGACCCTCACAAGGGGAACTGACGCAGGGACTGGACCAATGGCCTTGAGCGTATTGGAGGTGAAGAGGATAGGGCAGGTTTCAGATCTGTTCATAGTCTACTCAATGGCATAGAGTTAGAACAGTTGAAAGGTGGACAATTCCAGGTAAGAACGAGCGCCCGTGATCCTCTTTGTTCATAGGTCTTTCCCTCCTGCTTTTCCATTTCCTACCTCTGTTAAAGCATAGCCCCTGCTGTCTCATAGGTCCACTCAGCTGTTGAAGAAATGGACGGATTGGACGATGTTGAAAACAGCATGTTGTATTATAACCAGGCAGTCATTCTTTATCATCTCCGACAGTTCACAGAAGCCATATCAGTGGGCGAGAAACTTTATCAGTTCATAGAACCGTTTGGTATGTTATTTGTCAGATCAGAAAGATTTCTGGGTTTTTTTGTGTGTGTGTGTGTTTTTTAATTTCTGTTTTCTTATGCTTTCATCATTCTTGAGTATTTCTGCCTAGATGACCTAAGTCAGAAATTACATTTCAGCATTTAAGGAAAAGATGAGGGGGACCAAGCAAACATGTTGCATGCCCTTTAATGTTCTGAAAAGTCAGTTCTTTTAAGCTCTTCCCCAGTCTTCAAGAAACTTAATGGAAGTGCTGTTTCTCACTAGAAACACATAATGATACTATTTTCCTCTTATTTTTTTCAATTTCCCATTTAAATACCACCGTAGGGTATCTGGTCCTTTCCTGATTGAACAGCAAATTGAGGGAGGAACATTCTGGAATGTTAGAGGACAAGATGGAATTTAATTCACCAGTTGGCTAAACTGCAGTTTTCCTGAGTAATGCTTAATTGTTGTTGTGTTCCATCGAGGAGGAACCAGGCAGGTTTTCAGAGGCAGTAAACTGCACACAAGTTGATTGCTCACCTTGGTCCTGCCCAGCAGCTGGTGTGTTTAAACCTCCGCCACTAAACCACCTGAGTGCCCCTCAGAGAAAGTAACTCTCCTCACTATGATGTTGATGTTCGGTAGATATCATGCCAAAGGGCATTTAGCTGCTAGAATTTCTGAAACTAGAGGCTGTAGGATTGCCTGTCAAATTCAGTACCTGCCTCCCCCGTGGCAGACATTGGCCCAAAAGGCTGCCACAGAATAGCTAATTCTTGGGCCCTATTCCTCTCTTGGACCTCAGAGATCAATTTTATTACAGACATTAAACTTCTAGTCCTTGAGGTGAAAGTGGATGTTAAGGAGTGAGGAGGGTACGCTAATGGGCCTGTTGACTTGACCAGGTTAAAAAAAAATAATGTTGTTGTTGTTGTGTACCATAGAGTCAGAACTGACCCATATCTGACCCTCCAGCAGGTTTTCAGAGGCAGATAATCGCACGGGAGGAGATTGCCCTTCCTTCTTCCACAGAGCAGCTAGTTAGTGGCCTTGAGCCGAGTGCCTTTGGCATTGCAACGCAGCTTCTTGCCACTAGGCCACTAGAGCCAAATGATTGCAGCTGAATGTTAGAGGACAGTGGTCTCTGAACAAGTCACTCTGGAGGGTGGTCCATAGGGGTTGCAGTACCCTTTGGGCAGGGTGAGCGGGGCTCTTTCCTTCACTTTGGATTATGACTTTGGATGTTGTTTTTTGTTTTTTTCTCTGTTTTTTGTTGGTTTTTTGTTTTCACCAGAAGAAAAATTTGCCCAAGCCGTATGTTTTCTGCTGGTCGACCTGTACATACTAACTTACCAGGCTGAGAAAGCTTTGCATCTTCTTGCCGTTCTAGAGAAAATGATTTCCCAGGGCAACAGCAACAAAAATGGGAAGAATGAGGTAAGTGTCCCAAGGTAATCCCACTGAACTTCAAAATAGGATTAAGATTTCTAAGAGATTTTAATAGCCTTATTGGGATAGAATTTATAGGCTATAAAATGTTAACATTTTAAAGTACTTGAGCAGCTTTTAGTACATTCACAGAGTTGTATAACCATCACAGAAAGAAGCCTTGTAGCTTCCAGCTTCCGGTTCCTCCGTCCTCCCTCCATTCTACGGCTCTGCATTCTTCCTCTGCATTTGCCTGTTCGGGATATTTCCTATAAATGGAATCATACGCTATCTAGCCACGTGTATCTATCGTTTCTTTCATTTAACACATTTTTAAGGCTCATCCTTGTTGATGAGGCACATAATATCTCATTACATGAGTATACGGCATTTTTTTTAATTTGTTCATCAGTCGATGTACATTTGGATTGTTTTCACATTTTGGGGTTCTTATAAATAATGCTCTTGTTAATATCCAAGTCAAGTTTTGATGTGGATATCGTTTGAGTGCAATTTCTAATATTTCCAGACTTTTTCCCTGCATAAATTTGTTCTTGTTGAGGTTGAAAAATAAAAGAAACAATATGGTCTTGGTCATATCAGCCCCTCTGAGCCTCAGTTTCCTAAAAATCAAAACAAAACAAAAAACCCAAAACAAAATAAATTTCTCTCACTAATATCTATAGGGCGTTCTGGTAGCTTAGAGGTAAGGAATTTCACTGTCAATGCAAATGTACATGGTTCAAATCTACCAGCTACTCTTTAGGGAAAAGATGGGTAATCTCCTCCTGTGTGATTTACAGCTTCTGAAAACCTGCTGCAGGTCAGCCATGTGTCTGTTCTGACTTGATGGTACCCAACAACAACATGTACAGCTTGGTAGTTAGGTATAAAGTATTTCAGTCGGGTACTGAAGCTCCGTCTGACATACTTTGGACATGTTGCAAGGAGGGACTAGTCCTTGGAGAGGAACGTTGTGTTTGGAATGGTGGAAGGACAGCACAAGAGAGGAAGACCCTCTACGAGAAGGATCGATTCAGTGATTGGGGTGTCAGAGACAGAGAGGTTGACACAGGAGAGAGCAGGTTTAGGGCTCTTACACACAGGGTCACTATGAGTCACAAGTGACTCGATGGCACATAATAACAACAACAACAACTCACGCTATTACTCCTAAAGATCATGTAGCATTTCATTTGTCTGTTCAGTGCTTGTTATAGTTGATAAACTGTAATTCAGCATATTCTTAAGTGCCTACAGTTTAGCACATACTCTGCCAAGTATAAAGATAACAAAAATGAAAACAAGCTTTTCACTATACTTACAGGTCTGTGGGAAGAGACACATTGGGCAGCATCCATGAGCAGAAAGGAGAAAGGGTAGGGAATGCTTTACAGCAACGTGGGCATTTCAACTGGACTTTGAAAGATGGAGAGGTTTTGACAGGCCAGAAAAGGAGAGGGCAGAGCGGAATAACCATCCTGCCACAACAGTAGAAGCAGAATACAGGGGTATGAGAGTCAGGTGGACAGGGACAAGTTCAGATAATCGATGGAGAACGCTAGGGCTCTGTGGCCTACTGAGGAAGTTGCACTGCTCACCCAAAGCCAAGTGGTTTGAATCCACCAGCTGCGTCAAAGAAGAATGGACATTCTCCTCCCATGTGCTTTACCGCCTCTGAAAACCTGCTGGAGGATCAGCTACGGGCCAGGCTTGGGTTTTGGGTGTGTTTTGTTTTAAGACAGTGGGTAGAACCTGTGGAATAGAATAGAGATGAGTCACATCATGAAGGACTTTGAATATTGAACTAGGAGCTTAGGACTAGCTCTAGGCAGCAGTGTTATACCCACCAGGGTTTTTAGAAGGAAATGGTATCATCTCTTCTGGGCTTTAAAAAGATAATCTGGGTTTTGTTCGGGTGATGTCTGTACTTTAAAAACCTGGCCCGTCATTATTTTCAGTTCAGCTGTGACCATGTCTTCATGGAGTTCTTTCACCCCCTCCAGGCTCCTGATTTAAGGTATAATTGAAAGTACTTCAATATTGTCAATTTTTTTCACCCCCCTACAGACTGGGAATAGCACCAATAAAGATGGATCTAATCATAAAGCTGAGAGTGGAGCTCTAATAGAAGCTGCAAAGTCAAAGATACATCAGGTATCTGTTACATACATGTTATATATGTTATCCTCAGGAATGAGAAAGCAGTGTCCTAGGTTATGGGAAGCAGTAAAGAGTGAAAGGCTTGCATGTTTACTGCCTTTGAAGTGTTAGAGTTTAGTAGGACATTTATCCTATAGAATCTCTTATATATATATGTGTGTGTATATATATGTATGTATATATAATTTTTTAGATTGCAGCAAAATATACATATATATATATAGCATTATATGTATATAATTTTTAAGGTAACCTATAGAAGATTGAGAGGAATGACCTAATTGTATATTAAATGATAACATTAATTTATAGAATTTAAACATACACTCTAATTTAACCATTGACAGTTAAGAATTGGTAGAATTTTTGCTTGGAATATGAATGTAAATTGTATGCTAACATTTTTTTTTCTTTAGCGTATATTCCAAGGAAAAGTTAAAATATACTGACAGTGGTTTTAAAGTGGTATATCTCTACTGCAAGCAGATGGAGTTGATGTTACTCACCTAAAAAGTCAGGAGCCACTGTGTATGTGAATTCACCATAGATTTTCCTTCTTTCCATTCTCCTTTGACAGTATAAAGTAAGAGCTTATATCCAAATGAAGTCCTTGAAAGCCTGCAAAAGGGAAATCAAGTCGGTCATGAACACAGCCGGAAATGTGAGTTTCTTTTGAACATTTATTTTTATATTTGTGGGTTTTATGCCCTAAAACTCTATTAACACATTGCCGCAAATGATGACAAATGTGTTTCTAAGCACGTCGTCAATTTAAAAAGTGTGCGCCAACGTGTTAAGTGGTCTGTGAATACTTTTGTTTTAAATAAGTTCTATTCATTATGGTGTACCACTAGATATAAATCTTGATATTATAGAGTTGTGAAGCACTGAAGTCATAAAATGCCTACAATTTCATTTAATATATTAAATACATACCTAACATTTTAATAAACATTTCCCTTCAGTATATCACCTTGAAAGCCACTATTTGCAACTTAAAAAATTTATTTTCAAACAATGAAACAAAACACTGCTGTCCAATCAGTTCCAACCTACGGTGGCCTTTTAGAACAGAGGAGAACAGGATTCTCCTGCAGCTCTTTATGAAGGAGGCTGTCTACTTTTTCTCTCACAAAACAGCTGGTGGGTTTGAACTGTCAGCCTTATCGCTAGCAGCCCAACACTTAACCTACTGCACCACTAAGGGTCTTTTTATAAAACATGAACGCATTGCCTTTAAGGTGGTTCCAACTCCAAGTGACCATCAGGTTTCTGAGGCCGTAAATCTTAACAGGAGGATACTGGCCAAGTTAGAGGCTGGGAAGGTAGAACCACAGGAGGCCTTGAAAAGGCTTAGCAGCACTGCTCACTGTGAACTGTCGCACCAGAGCTCTCTCCCTTTGTAATAGCCATCTAGTTATCCAGTAGTGCATGGCTTATCATAAGTCTGTATCTAAGCATTTTGCTATTGTTAGATATTTGCGTTATTTTAGGACATTTTAGTATTGTGGCCAAAATATTGATTAACAATAGCCACAATAGGTTATAGACAAAACCTTCTCAATAGTGTTTGGCTTAGCATACCTTCAATCTAACTAGTGTTAGAACATTTGACGTACAATTACTCCTTCCTTTCACTACCTCTATCCCAACCCCTTTTGAAAAAAAGACTTTTTAAGGGCCCAGGATCAACTAGAATTTCAGAGGTCAAGCTGGCTTTTAACTACGATGAATGAATGAAGTAGATCCCCTCCCGTAGAGATGTTTACAGTCTCCAGAGCCCTACATGTTATGTATTCTTCAGAGGGGCTGTTTAGAACATCCTCCTCTATGAGGATTCTTGGAAGTGAAAGAATACTTGGAATAAGATTAGCTCTCACAAAGAAGACATTTCTGTTTAAAAGGTGGTTGTTGTGATGTGCCATCTAGTCGCCTGTGACTCATAGCGCCCGTTCAGGGCCATGATAATTGGAAAAGTATTTGATTATTTCAACCTCTTATCTTTGTATCTGTTTGGGTGCATTTGTATCTTGAAAACCAGCAAAGCTCATGAGTCTTTCTAAGCACCATTAAATTCAGGGCCTCATTTGTGCTGCTGAATGACTTCTAGTTAGTCGTGTAATAGTGACAGCCTGTTGATAAGCTGTGGGCTTTATCTCTCCACATAGCTTATGGATTATAGTCATTGTTAGAAAGACCCCTAATTCTTTTATTTTTAATTAATTTTAATGAACGTTTACAGAGATTTTGAATTTCCATACATTCATTGTTGCTTTTGACCCCTAATTCTTTATGTGAGATGCTTTCTTATAGGTGTGGGGTTTGTGGATCTTTTTTAGATTATAAGAGCAATGGAGAATAGACCATAATTTTCAATAGTACACTTTTTTTAAAATAAATTTTATTATTTTGTGTGTGTACTGTCAAATCAGATCTGACTGGTACAGGAGGAGATTGCCCCTCCTTCTCCAGCAGAGCATCTGGTGGATAATATTACACTTTTTAAATCATGACTAATTTAGTTGTGCTATCAGACAAATTCCAGGGCAGCAGTATAGTTGTGACCTTGAAATTGACACAGGAAAACACAAAATAAGTAACTGGTATTTTCTTTTCAGTCAGCACCCTCTCTGTTTCTTAAAAGCAACTTTGAGTACTTAAGAGGCAATTACCGAAAAGCGGTGAAGCTGCTGAATAGTTCCAACATTGCTGACCATCCAGGATTCATGAAAACAGGTAAAGAAAAGGACGTTGGCCTGCGAGTTGCTTGGTTCCCTTCCTAGACAGTTCTACAGAAGTATTGTGTTAGTAGTATAGACTGATCTTTAAGGGCAATGTTTAAATATTTCTGCTGCAGATAATTCCCAGCATCTTAGTTTATGGTGTGCTTCCATTTGAGGAAAAAATTCACTCTTGCTCTTTCATTTATAAATACCGGCTTAGCAAACGTGTGGGGCATAGGGTTCTTCAGCTTTTGCCTTGTGAAATGAGATTTTTCTAAAGAAATCTGATCATGTTTGTCCTCCTTTATTTATTTATTTTTTTTAATTTTCTCTTTCTCATTTTATTTTATTATTTTCTCTGTGTGTACCATCAAATCAGATCTGACTGGTACAGGAGGAGATTGTCCCTCCTTCTCTAGCAGAGCAGCTGGTGGATTCAAACCGCAGGCCTCTGGGATTGCAGTGCAGCTTCCTGCCACTAGGCCGCCAGAGCTCCCATTGTCCTTCTTTCTTACAAGCAGTGAATATATGATCCATTCATTAGACTATTCAAAACTCAGAGTCACTGCCGTGGAGTCGGAACCAACTCTGCAGACCCTCCAAGTGGGGTCTTCCTTATGTTCTTGGATTTTGTTCCCTGTTTATTCCTCACTCTATCCAGACCCTCTTAACTGTGATCTTGTTCAGATGATCCCCAGAACTAGCCAGTAACCATCTTGCTGTGGTCTCTGGGCCTGGAGACTAAAGCTCACCAGTGTCTGGTAGTCCTGTGGACGAGTTAGCCTCACTTTCTTCACTCGTCTTTGCTCCAGCCAAGGAGAGCCAAGTAACTCCACCTTAGATTGCAGCTCCAAGCTCTAAACACCCCAGTCACTACTCATCAGAAAGACTTCTCTCAGCTTAGAAAAATAACTACTGCTACATGTTCTTGACTGTATTAAAGAGTCTTGGCAAGTCACTTAATTTTTTTTAAGTCACTTAATTCTAACAGTTGAATGAAAGATTAAATTTATGACTGTCATTTAGGTTATACCATTGCTATTTTATAAGAATTTTTTTCATTTAAGAAATGAAGTTAAACCATTGAAAATGTTTGTTTTTGCATCAAGATTTAAATGCCAGTAACTAATAAGTATTTAGATTCTAATTAGATACACATTCAGTTCATATCCTCAGATCTACCTTCATTTACCCCTTTCATTGGTGTCAGGGAGCGTGTGGAAAGGCAGTGTTCCACTATAATTCTCTTGCAGATATTCTTACTATCTTAAGTAAGAATTCTTTTTTAATTCTGCTTAATTTTTATTTCAGTATTTTTACTGTCCTAGTTTTTTCAGAGGCGTACTGCTACTAAACACTAAAATGACTTTCAGACGGAAAAGATTGTAAGCTTTGGGAAAATTTTGCTTCAGATTATCTTCATAGAAATTTATTAAGATTTGATAATTGTCATTTGCTAGAGTGGAATCAGGATCAGGGAATATATTTCACTAGTAAACAGCTAATGGTACTCCAATGGAAAAGTTTTCTATATATTTAATTCATACTGATATTTTTTCATCATTATTAGTACTTAACCCTTTAATTTGCTTCCCATCTATAAACTTTTATTTTGTTGCTAGTAAAATACACTTAGGCAGAAGATTTGGGAAATAGAATTTTTCTTTTTTGTCAGTCCAGTGAGATGTTAGGGAGTGAGCGCTGGTGGCATGGTCTATAAGCAGTTGTGGTAGGGAGCTCTGGTGGCCTAGTGGCAAGAAGCTGCACTACAATCCCAGAGGTGTGCGGTTCAAATCCACCAGATGCTCTGCTGGAGAAGGAGGGGCAGTCTCCTCCTATACCAGTCAGATCTGATTTGACGGTACACACAC